GATTATTTCAAAAAAAACTAATTATAAAAATATTTTTGAGGTATTTTTATTTAATTAAAAACAATTAAACTAATTAATCTAAACAATTATTATTAATTCTAATCAAAATATTAAAGTTTAGATAAAATATAATTAAAAAATACTTTAAATATTCAAACCAACTAATTAAGAAGACAAATCTAAACTAATTAAAAAATTAAAAGAAAGAGGAAAATAAAAATCAGAGAAAAAAAGAGTGGTGTAAACAAGGTACATGGGCTTTCTGCAAGATCCTAACAAGCCCAACTCCTAACATAAAAGAAAAAGGTTTGACTCACATTCAATCAAAAGAAAATGTAGAAAAAACTCTCACACACGGTTACCATGGTGATGGAGGAAGGTACATGGCAGGGGATCAAGGCTTAACGCGGTGGGTGAAGTTGGGATGTGGAAGATGATATGAAGAGTTGGGTTTGGTAGGAAGGTTGTTGGAGGTGACGAAGAAGGAGACGTGGCTGTGAAAGGGAGGTTGTGTGTTTGTGATTCACCCACAAAGAAGATGAATCTTGTTCTTCATATCTTTTATTTGTTTCACACTTTGCTTTTGGAGTTAGATCAAGGAACAAACTGATGTTGCTATTTCACCAAGAAGATAGCTCTTCTTCAATCCATTCTTGTAATTTTCCGCAAAATAAAATGAAGAGCAAGCTTAGTAAAAAACAAATAAAAATGGATCTGCTACCTCTAGTCAAGTGCGTCGCGTGGGATTCAATTTCTGGATGCCCCCCATTTTCTCATGCAACGTATGTGTGTATATATATATTAAAAATAAAATAAAAGTTCAGAAATTTTTAATTAATCAATCACAAACATTTTTTTACTAAAAATAAAATAAAAGGGTTAAAAGCGGATAAAAAGTTGTGTACTAAAGTGTTCGAAAAAATAAAAGGAATGCATCAAGATGATCAGTGTGAAATAATCATATTAGAAAAATACATCGTTTTGTCAGTTTTTGAAATAAATCTAGATGGATAAAATGCTCAGACCGATCAAAATGTGGTCAAAAAGTCATCAAAAATTAAAACGAGTATGCTAGGTTAAACTACACGAATCGTAGATTAAAATAAACGACGTCCGCAAGCTCAATTTTAAAACTTTTTGTCCACTGATTTTACGCACAGTTGAAATTCAGTTTGACTGATTTTCCTGTAAATCTAACAAGTTTATTTTGGCCGACATTTTAGACAATATGCATGATGAAAGGAATGTTATGTTATCCAGATGATGCAAAGCAAAAATTAAGTCAGATGAACGAATATTTAAAATGCCCGGTCAAAAATGAGGTATGACGTACCTCATTCTTACACGTCCAGACATTTCCTTTACAATAACTAAGGCATGTCAATTCATGGCACAACCATTAGATTCACACTGGTGTACAGTCAAAAGAATACTCAGTTACTTGAGTGGCACGACAATGCTTGGTTTGATGCTTGCTCCAATTGCAACCTCACAACCCTTCCATTACGTGCTTACGATGATTCTGATTGGGCTATTGACCTAGATGATCGTAGATCAACATCTGGCTCATGTTTATTCTTTGCCTCTAATATGGTTTTATGGAGTTCAAAGAAGTAAGCATTAGTTGCTCGATCCAGCACTGAGGTCGGATATCTTGTGTTGGCTCACATAGCGCCTGAACTACTATAGCTTGAATCCTTACTTAGTGAACTCCATATTCCCTACTCAGCTCCACAACTCTTCTATAATAACTTGAGTGTGGTTATGTTGTCTCATAACTCCGTTCTACACGCGAGAACAAAGCACATTGAACTTGATATCTACTTTGTTCGTGAACGAGTTGTGGCCTAACAACTTTAGATCCAACATGTCATGTGTCATGCTCAACTTGCAAATATACTCACAAAGCCCCTCACCAAAGCATTGTTTCTTAACTTTCGTCCCAAACTCAAAGTGCTGCATAAGCCACCACCATGACTTTATGGGGGATATTAGAGTAGCATTGGCATATGGAGTTATTCAACATTCTTAGAATGTTTGTTAGTTGGTTAGGATTGTTAGCAAGTTAGTTACATCCAACACCAACTATATAATATGTGAACTTGTATATTTTCTAAGTTTAAAGCTTTGTACAATAATAACAATTACTTCATTCTATTCATCTTTTTTTTCTTCCTTCTTCAAACCAAAGCTTCACTCTTCTGCAATGGAAATGATCAAAGATTATTCCCTAACATAGGGTTATTACACAAAAAATAAATTAACTTGTTTGAATTTTTATATTAGGATTTTTATGCAAAGAAGAAATTCGGAAATGTTTTTCTTTTAGCTCGCAACATTTTATTATTTGATTCTACTTTTAAATGGTTGATTTTGTTTCAATTTTATTGGTGTTTGGGTACAAAGTTTTTTTTCTTAATGATTACAGTCATTTATAAGTTAATTATTTATTTTTATATTAACTCTAATATCTTCTGTAGCAACTACATCTTTAAAAAAGTCGTAACCGTATTTTATTGGTGTCTGAAACTCACATCGAGACTTTTGATTACTTTAATTTATTTATTTTTTAAATTATTACAAGTGTGTCAATCGGTGTCGTATTTCTAATATTCATGCATCATTATCAATACCATTCATATAGGGTTTTGGAAACCTTGTTCTTAGACATAGATGATACAAACAATCAATAAACTAAGCTAACTATAGCTTCATTTACATAAGTCAAATAAAGTTATATTTTTGACCGAGCAAACTACTTAATTTACAGAAATCAAATGAAGTTAAATTTTTTATGGAACTAGCTAGTACTCAATTGATGTTAGATTACATTCAAGGACTTTTGAAGTAATTTTCATATTTTAAGAACTAGTATGACTAAATAAGAAAGGTATTATTCTTTAGTCAAATAGTATAGTGGCTAAAATTTCACTATTTAAAAGTGAATGGATGAGATATCGAAGGTTCGAATCTGTACCTCTATAATATGATATCTTTAGACAGTTACCAATTAAAATGATTTAACGGTACATACAAATACCATTTAACTGTTTACTAAAAATTCTTTATCTTTATACCTCATTAGATAAACCTTTGTCATAGTATCTAAGGAAGGAAAGTGAGTATCCCAAATCTTTAAATATTTGGCGGTAATAGGCTAAATGTTTACCACAGTATGAGTATGAGACATGGATAGTTCATCAAGTATGAGTAGTCCGTTCTCTATTAACAAGCACAACCACCAATGGGTATTGTTTGCTATTCCTCTGCATTCCTTGTTTATGTGCAGTTGCACCTATTCATCTGAATGAGAAATTGAATAATATAGAACTAATTTCCAAAAACAATTTCATGCTTTAAGATGAATATTCAAAGTTTGTAACACTTCCAAATAGAAATCAATTGCGCAAACGAGTGAGAAATAGTGTGTCTAGTGATGACAGTAATCGAAAGAAAGTATTTGTTATTCTTCATTAAAATCTCAAATACATAGATTATTTTCAATTGTTCAAGGTAAGTAGGTAACATTGTTGAAACCAAATATATTGAAGTTTACATATAATTCATCAAAGAAAAATTAGATATTGGTCTTATTTGCATCTCAAATATCTCTTCTTAAAATAACCATACAGATCTTTTAATTAATGGTCTGAACAACAACAACTTTAAAAAAAAATATTATAAGTCAGAAATGATATTCAATAATTTGAGAGAAAGTGTTGTAATTTGTATTGGAATCTTTAGTGTATTAGTTAGACTCATTAGACTAGAATAATTTATAAAAAAAAGTGTTTGTAAATTATTCATCTTTAAAATATATTATTCTAACTTATTAGAGAAAAAAAGGGATGTTAGATTATTTAAAAATAGTTATGTGCTATTAGAGAAAATAGTTATGAATGATTTATTTATTTTGTGATTTGTCGATATGTTTGTCACGTTGATTTGCATTATAAATGACTTTTTGACATATTATAATTTGTGCGCGTATGACAATAAAGGGCATAAAATGTGTCAAATATGTGAAGAATCTACTTACCACTATCATAATCCTTGTAAGAAACTCTTGATTGTGACTTTTGTTAAGCCTTTTAACTGCTGTGTTTGTGCTTATAATTAACAACTTCTGTTTGTTTGACTGTGTTCTATGTTTGCCTACTTTAAAACTAAAACACTAAATCTTGTGATTTTCTTTTGTTACTCTTTTTCAAATATATTTTTATTTGACGTCTAAAACTTCTAATATTCTTAATGAGGTTGCTTTAAACTTTTACCTTTAACAAATATTTATTAACAATTTTAATATGTTAATTAATTAAACAAATCCACTATAACTAGTGGTTTAGTCCACCATTTGCATTATTGTGGCCATTTATTCTATTTTATATTGTATACACCAGATAATTTAGTTGATAGATGTAATTACAAATAGTTGAATTAAGATTTAGTTTAATTTCTAGTGTCTAATCGAATTACATTCGAATCTGACACATATGAATCTTTTTCATGTCCCATAAAATAGAACTAATCAAAAGTCGCATGAAATTTGACAATTCAATATATTGGAGACTATCTTCACAAAAACATGATCTAAAACAAATAGCTCACAACTGGACCACCAGAGGAAAACGAAAATGTCGTAAGATGAAGAAAAACACATCAAATAATCCATTTATGCAAATTCGTCTTTTATTTTTTACTTTTTGTTTTAGTTGTAAATAGAGATTTTTAAGTTTAATAGCTCACAAAAATTTCATTAAAAATAAGTGTATATGAATTAATTGTCCATTTAAAAACACATTACTTAACTTATTTAGAATATTTCATTAAAAATAAGTGTATATGAATTAATTCTCCATTTTTTAATAATAAGAAATTTGGTACACCAACTATAAATACAACAAATGGAATCATTGAGGAGGCACAAGAGTAAGAGAGATTATAAAAGGGTCATATGATCTAGAGATAATATTTCAAATAAGATCCTATATTACTCCAAAATGGAGAGAAGTTCAACATGCAATTTGTTTGCAGTTACAAATGAGCTGCAAAATCATAGAACACAAAAACATTCAATACTCCCTCCTGGCTTTCCAAGAAAGGTATGTCATAGTTTTATCTAATGTTTTAAAATTTAAACCGAACATAGAATAAACAAAATTTATAAAATGATTATGAACGAGAGATTGAAAAATGTCGAATTGATCATTAATCTGACTCTAACATTAGTTAATACCAGTGATTTATCAATGTTTTATAAAAGTTATATTCCTACAGTTTACAGATCAGTTTGGAAAAGCGATTTTATTTAACGTTCTCTAATCATTATCATAAATAAATATTCATTTTTCATATATATCGAGTAATTGATGTATTTGTTATGTATTTAAACTGAAATATACAGGTATTTGCGGAGGTTATAGGGACATATTTATTGGTGTTTGTGGGGAGTGGGAGTGCTGCTATGAATGCAATAGATGAAAACAAAGTATCAAAATTGGGAGCTTCACTAGCAGGTGGATTCATTGTTACTGTTATGATTTATGCAATTGGACACATCTCTGGTGCACATATGAATCCAGCTGTTTCCTTAGCATTTGCCACCATTAACCATTTTCCTTGGAAACAGGTTTGTCTCTTAGTATATACTAGAGCATTATTCCAAAACTTTTGGTGGTTGTTGCATTTTTTATTTCTTGTCTTGTTAGAAACAAAATAACTAATTTTGTATCAAAATGTATTTTGGTAGCTATAGACTTTTATGTAGGGATGGCAAATTGCCCAGCCCCTTTTAAGACTTGTTTTTGTAAAAGTCAGACAAAAAATAAGACAGACGAAGTAGTAATAGTTAAAAATGCGAGTTTAAAATTTTAACTTATTTAACGAAAAAATAAAGATTGAGTAGACATGCTGATTTGTACTCTTAAAAGTTAAGAGTTATAAAATAAAAAGTTAAAAATAAATAAACGAACAGTGCAGAAGGAAGAAGCATATTAGAATATCTGAACTAAAAAAAACTTAGTTCATCTAGTAAATAAACGCGGACAAAACATACATAATCAGATTTGTTTTATCACCCTTATTTTTAAATGTAAGAATCCATTTTTCGAATTCAATAATCAAATGGTTGTAGAAGAATCTATCAAACCAAAACAATTTCTTTCATTCATTTTCTATTTATTTTCTTCGGACATTGTGAAACTAAACCAACCAACATGAGTTATTTTGTAGTTGTTCAAGTCTATATCAAGCTTATTTAGCCAACAAATAAATTGGTATGAGTCAATTTCAATTATAAATTATGGACCCATTTTTGCTTCAATTTATATTATTGTTGAAACGACCCTATACAAATTCTTGCATGTGATGCAAGGTTTTCATCACCATGAATCCTCACTCCAATTTTGGAAGGTTCCTCTTTCATAGCACAAAAAATAAGAATAGGAACCAAAAAAAAATTTAAAAACGAAAGAGAAATTTATTTTTTGTTTTTGATTTTTTATATTCATATTTATGGAGATAAAATTCACATCATAATTAAAAAATAAATGTGTAATTATTTTTCGTCATTCAAAATTATAAGGGTTATTGAAAATTATAAAAGAGTATTTTATTGAAGAATTTAGTTATTACACAACAAATTTATATTTTTTTTAAGGATGACATCAATTCAGAAGTGCTTTAATTGAATCTTTTATAAAAATAGATTTTTTTTTCTTATTTCCTTATTTCTAGAATAGACACGGGCCTGATATATTGCATATACTCCTTTCGTCTCATAATGAATGAATTATTTAACCATTTCGCATATATTAAAAAAAATAAAAAATTAAAAGAGAGAATGATATTTTTATTAAAATACTTTTATTATGTATTGTGAATAATAAAAATTAATTAACGAATAAAATTGAAAAAAAATACTTTAAATTAAAATAGATAACTCATTTTAAAATATTATTCTATTCTAAATAAATCACGCATTTACATAAAAAATATTAAATTAAGTTATATTAAAAGCACAACAACACTTTGTTTATTATATCAACAGCAATGATATGTTGACACTCATTCCTACACTACACCGTATTTACTGTTCATCAATACGGTGAACAATACGTGAACAGTGCGAAATAGTGTCACAATAGTGTATGAACAGTACCATGAACAGTATTCGTGAACAGTATTTGTGTTGTTTTCGGATTTGAAAAAATAGAGTTTGGCACAGGGAAATTATCGGGACGAGTCGCGTACTAGGTCGCTTTCTTTAAGACGTTTCGCCGTACTGCCAAATTATGCAAAGCAGTCGAATTTACGACGACGCCTCCAGGATAAAACAGCCCGTTCAAACAACTTACGATTATCAGTTGCACACTGATAAATCGCTCTAGAAATACACCTTTCAAAGTATCTGGTTAAAATAACCAGTCAAGAAAAAAGAGAAAAATTATAGATGAATAAAATTAAGGAAGAGAAGAGGGAAATCAAAATTCATGAATTTGTGAAATCCGGAGTGCTTACTACTGAATTTCTACCCTTTATTTATAGGCAGCTAGTAAGGCTTAATTTTCATTCCCGTCAATGTGGGACTAAAATGAATCTTAATTTCCATTCCCTTCAATGTTGGACTAAAATTAATCTTAATTTTCATTCCTTCAATGTGGGACTAAAATGAATCTTAATTTCCATTCCCTTCGATGTTGGACTAAAATGAATCTTAATTTTCATTCCTTCAATGTGGGACTAAAATGAATCTTAATTTTCAAATTCACTTTCCAATTCCCATTAATATAATTCCAACATCCAATGTGGGACTAACATGAATCTTTTCAAATTCACTTTCCAATTCCCATTAATATAATTCCAACATCCAATGTGGGACTAAAATGAATCTTTTCAAATTCACTTTTCAATTTCTATTACTATAATTATTATAGTTCCAACAATCCCCCACTTGAATTTAAAGGAAATTTTAGAAGTCCGTCAAACGTTTCTAAGATTGTGCATAAGCAAAGGTGTCTACGACTTGAACCTTAGCGTAGCGAGTAGGATTCTGATTCAACAAGAGTGACACTATTGTCTTGAACTCTATCTCGGACATCAGACCCGCACACAACCTTTTCGTAAGGTGTATTCTTGTAGCCCGTGCTTTAGTGGCCTTGCACGTGTATCCCGGTTTAGTGAATGCTCTAGGAATTCTGCCTCGAAATTCCATAGGGACCGGCCTCAGTTCCACAGTCACATAGGTGAATCTATCAAGAGTACTCCTGTAGCCTAGGTACTCCCTCATACAGAGAATAAATATCATTAAGAGTTTCTATTATCTCATCCTGTCATTACTTCAGGATTCATGCTTTACTTACATGATCATTTTCATATTACTCACAACTTGTTATTACCCATTGAACCTAAGTCTTGGGATCTCCAGTCATTTAGGTCGGGTTACCATCATGAGTAACTAATTGCTTCATAGGCATTAGTCTCATCTTTTTGGATGTATTATGGACTTTCTCTCTAGCTAATCCTTTCGTCAAAGGATCTGCTAAGTTCTCATCAGTGCGTACATGATCCACTCTCACAGCTCCTTTAGATATACAATCTCTAACAGTGCTATGTTTTCTTCTAATTTGACGTCTTTTACCATTATAGTAACGGTTCTCAACTTTTGCAATAGCCGCGGTACTATCGCAGTGGATCAACACAGCTGGTATAGGTTTTTCCCATAAAGGGATCTCAGCTAGCAAGCATCTTAACCAACTTGCTTCTTCACTAGCTGTAGCTAATGCTATCATCTCAGACTCCATTGTGGACTGTGCCAGAATGGTCTGTTTCTTTGATTTCCAAGATACAGCTCCTCCGACTATACTAAATATATAACCACTAGTAGCTTTGGAATCATCCGATAAGGTGTTCCAATCTACATCACTATACCCTTCTAGTACAGCAGGAAATTTCTGATAGTGTAGGCCGAGGTCCATAGTCCTTTTAAGGTACCTCATTACTCGCTCAATAGCTTGCCAATGTTCGTTACTCGGCCTACTTGTAAATCTGCACAACAATCCTACGACATATGCAATGTCGGGTCTAGTACAATCAGTGGCATACCTAAGACTGCCAATGATGCTCGCATATTCTGCTTGTTTGACACTTTCTCCAGTGTTCTTAAACAGTTTCACACTTGGATCATACGGAGTGCATGCAGGTTTACAATCAAAGTATTTATATTTCTTTAAGATCTTCTCCACATAGTGAGATTGATCCAAAGAAATTCCTTGGTCGGATCTCGTGATCTTGATACCCAAGATCACGCTTGCTTCTCTGAGGTCTTTCATATCAAAGTTATTGCATAACAATGATATCATATCATTAATGGCCTGAATGTTTGATCCAAATATAAGTAGATCGTCTACATATAGACATATGATAGTACAAATGCGATTCTCAGATTTGTAATAGACGCACTTGTCACTTTCATTCACTTTGTACCCATTAATTATCATTAAGTTATCAAACTTTTCATGCCATTGTTTAGGGGCTTGTTTTAGTCCATACAGAGACTTATCTAACTTACAGACCTTGCTTTCTTGTCCTTGGATTACAAATCCTTCTGGTTGTTCCATATAGATTTCTTCTAAGTCACCGCTTAAAAAAGTTGTTTTAACATCCATTTGGTGTACTATTAAGTTATAAATGGCTGCTATTGAGATGAGTACCCTAATGGATGTAATTCTAGTGACTGGAGAAAAGGTGTCGAAGAAATCTATATTTTCTCTTTGTCTAAAACCCTTGGCTACAAGGCGTGCCTTGTATTTCTCAATCGTTCCATCAGGTTTTAGTTTCCTTTTCAAAACCCATTTACAACCAATTGGTTTGCAACCCGGAGGTAAGTTTACTAAGTGCCAGGTCTTGTTAGATTCTAGAGAATCTATCTCATCATTAATGGCTTCTTGCCATAAGTCTGCATCCATAGATGACAGTGCTTCTTGAAGATTTATTGGATCTTCTTCTACATTATAGGCCGAATAATCGGGCCCATAGTCTTTAGCAACTCTTGCTCTTTTACTTCTTCGAAGTTCTGTTTCTACATTGTCGCTGCTTTCAGTGCTTTTTATCACAGGAATGTGACTCGATTGTGTGCCCCCACTATTTCTCGATTTGAAAGGAAATCTGTCTTCAAAGAATTCAACATCGTTTGATTCTATAATTACTCTGGCATTTAGGTCATAAAACCTGTATGCCTTACTGTTTGTTGCATACCCAATGAATACGCATTCATAGGCTCTACTAGCGAGTTTAACTCGTTTCGGATCCGGAATTCTGACATAAGCCAGACAGCCCCAAGTTCTTAAATAAGACAAATTTGGTTGTCTTTTCTTTAATATCTCATAAGGTGAGATCTTACTTTTTTGACTTGGGAACTTTATTCAGGACATAGCAAACAGTCAATAAAATTTCCCCCCACCAGTGAGGTGCAGCACCAGAATTTAACACGATTGCAACTACAAGTTCAGTAAGAGTCCTATTCTTTCTTTCTGCTTTACCATTCATTTCAAGAGAGTATGGAGCAGTCGTTTCATGTATAATACCATGTTCAGCATAAAAATCATTAAACAAGCTAGAGTCATATTCGGTTCCCCTATCACTACGAAGTCTCTTAATCTTCTTGTTAAATTGATTCTCAATTTCAGTTACATACACCTTAAACATGTCAAGCGCTTCACTTTTATTCTTCATTAGATATACATAAGTATAATCAGAGCAATCGTCAATAAAAGTGATAAAATAACGTTTATTATTTCTAGTTAAACTTCCATCTAATTCACATATATCAGAGTGTATAAGATCTAGGGGGTCAGATTCTTTTATAATTGACTTATGTGAAGTTTTTGTTATTTTAGCTTGACTGCAAAATTCACATTTATTGGAATCATTAACATTTAGTTTAGGGAGTAGGCCTATGTTGCTTGCATTAGTAATGATTCTTTTATTAACGTGACAAAGTATATTTTTGAAATCTTTCCAACCAGGGGGCAGTTTGTCAATAATTACAGCAATTTGAAATTGTTCATTAAGGGGCATACCTTCTGTAATAATCTCATGAGCAATCTTCTGAATTTCGTGGCTTTGAGTTTCCACCGACTTCTCATCCACCATCTTGTAGTTCAAGTAGCGGCTGACAGCAAATTTCTTCGCACCTGCTTCTTCAGTATCATATTTCCTTTTCAGAGCCTCCCATACCTGTTTAGCAGTTCTGTAGCTACTGTAGTAGTCGTACAGATCATCAGCAAGGCTGTTCAAAATGTGATTTTTGCACAGATAATCATTCTCGTGCCATAAGGCGATTTCTTTTCGGAGCTGCAGATCATCTGCTGCAGCCTTAGCTTTTGCAGCATCTGAGTCAGACATTTTGGAAGTCCCGTCTGAATCTTTTTCAGAGTTAAGAAAAATTTCATCTTAGCTTGCCAACGTTTGAAATTGGAACCCTCAAACCTGAAAGGTTTGTCAGACCAAAGTGGCCGCAGTAGTACCGATAATTTCCTCAGTTGCCATGGCAGTTATGAAACCGTCTTAAAATTGTTGTTTTCGGATTTGAAAAAATAGAGTTTGGCACAGGGAAATTATCGGGACGAGTCGCGTACTAGGTCGCTTTCTTTAAGACGTTTCGCCGTACTGCCAAATTATGCAAAGCAGTCGAATTTACGACGACGCCTCCAGGATAAAACAGCCCGTTCAAACAACTTACGATTATCAGTTGCACACTGATAAATCGCTCTAGAAATACACCTTTCAAAGTATCTGGTTAAAATAACCAGTCAAGAAAAAAGAGAAAAATTATAGATGAATAGAATTAAGGAAAAGAAGAGGGAAATCAAAATTCATGAATTTGTGAAATCCGGAGTGCTTACTACTGAATTTCTACCCTTTATTTATAGGCAGCTAGTAAGGCTTAATTTTCATTCCCGTCAATGTGGGACTAAAATGAATCTTAATTTCCATTCCCTTCAATGTTGGACTAAAATTAATCTTAATTTTCATTCCTTCAATGTGGGACTAAAATGAATCTTAATTTCCATTCCCTTCGATGTTGGACTAAAATGAATCTTAATTTTCATTCCTTCAATGTGGGACTAAAATGAATCTTAATTTTCAAATTCACTTTCCAATTCCCATTAATATAATTCCAACATCCAATGTGGGACTAACATGAATCTTTTCAAATTCACTTTCCAATTCCCATTAATATAATTCCAACATCCAATGTGGGACTAAAATGAATCTTTTCAAATTCACTTTTCAATTTCTATTACTATAATTATTATAGTTCCAACAATTTGTAAATAGTTTTTTAAGTTATGAAACAAAATTGGTTAATGAAATATAAAAAGTTGGTTAATAAAGTGATGAAATTGGTTAATAAACGCTCAGAATTACAAATAATTTTAACCGTAAATAAAATTGGTTAATAATATATAAAGTGTTGGTTAACGGAGTTATGAAGTTGGTTAATCACACAATTTCATATCAATATATTTAATTTTATAATACGGTGAACAGTAAAATACGGCATAGATGTAGAAATTGGGTGTAAGAATATCATTTCTCATTATATCAATAATTAAAGTAAGTTATATTAAAAGCACATCATCTCTTTATTTATTAATAAGAGTTTTACAATATAAAAAGTTTTTCACAATCGTTTGATAAAAAATATTATAAGTTATTCATATTATATATTTTAATAATATTTTTATAATTTAGCAAATTACATATCACTCATCAGATTTATGCACATAACAAGCTCATAATCTTTCTCTGCAGGTTCCATTTTACATAACAGCTCAACTCACAGGAGCAATTTCTGCTTCATACACACTTAGAGCATTGCTAGAACCATCAAAGCAGTTAGGTGCAACATCACCTTCTGGATCAAACATTCAAGCACTAATCATTGAAATTGTCACCACTTTCACCATGGTGTTCATCTCCGCCGCAGTCGCCACCGACTCAAAAGCCGTAAAGAATTCAAAAATGCTCATAAGATATATTTACTTTGTTCCACCAAAACTTTTTATACACATTGTATTAATTAAAATGCTTTTACTTTGCAGAAAGGAGAGCTTGCTGGAGTAGCAGTAGGTTCATCTGTTTGCATAGCAAGCATTGTTGCTGGGTAGGAAATTGTCTTTATCTTTGTCATGTTTGTGAAAATTTTCAAAAGAACCAAACGTGGTAACTAATATAAGTTGTCACTGTCTTGTGATGTTATTTGTTTATACAGACCGATTTCCGGGGGATCAATGAATCCAGCAAGGACATTAGGTCCTGCAATTGCTTCTGCATCTTACAAGGGAATTTGGGTTTATATGGTTGGACCAATTACTGGTGCACTTTTAGGTGCATGGTGTTATGTTGTGATTCAAGAGAGAGATCACAAACAAGATATTGTAACTTTACAATCTCCTATTTCACTCAAGATACACCATGAGATGAGTGGGATTGAGCTATAGTTTGTGACAATGCTAAGTGTGAGAGTTGTGTATTATTTGTATTGGAGTTTGGACACCTTCCAAATGCAGGATTTAGAAGTCCATTCCAATGTATTCATGTATCAAATTTAAGGCTTAATCATGTACAATTTTATTGTATATATGCTTATCTTTTAAATTAAATTCGGTTTTAGTTTAGGGGTGACTAACAAGAGAGAGAGAGGTTACCACATAGTCATTCTCTTCTTTAGTAGCTATAAAGCAAATGTTTTTCTCTTTATAGGATTCCTTATTTGATCTCATAGACGATGTTTCACCTGAATTTTCTAATAAAGTTTTGAATGAAGCTTTAGAAGATGAGGATGTTTCCTCAATTAATTCTCAAAATTTGAAGACATCATTACTATTGAGGGGAATTTAAAACCAGAGCAAGTCCTCATAAGAAGCTTTACTTTGATTGTTGAAATTAAATCCCCCTATCATAGAGAACTCCAACATTCACAAATCGTTGGACTTGTGTAATTGTTATTTTAAAGACTGTTTCATCAGTTGTCATCATTAAAATTTAATTGATTGTCATGTCTACAAGTACATATATCCACATATTTTATCTTAAACATATAATTCTTTGTAATTCTTTATGGTTACTTGTATAATGACTCTTTAATAATAGATATATAGTTCTATTTGTGTTTAATGGTTTCTACTGTATATGGAATTGAGAGAATTGATCAAGAGGAATATGAAGGAAATATGAATATGATCAGAATCCAATCCTTACACCAAGACGCCATATAGCATGTGTTGAACATTTTGCTTAACAAGTTGCTTACAACCAAATCTTTCTATTAAGCAAGTTAGCAGAACTTTGGACTGAACAAATATTCTTAGAAACAAACACAATCACGCGCAGATTTCTTCATGAAACCTATCTAACATACTGAAGCCAGATGTTGGAACATCGTGTTCCACATGTTGCCTCAACACAAAATGCATCTTGTACATATGTTTTTTTTACCAAATGCAGTCAATCACATAGAACAACATTAATTGATTAATTTTAAGCTTACCAATCGATTGGAGCTTTATGCTAATCGATTGGCTCATCATTATTAGCCATAAAATTAATTCATTTTTTGTGTCAACCTCTAGCCTATATATAGAGGTCCCTTCCCACATATTTTCACATCTATACACGTGATTTAATTTCTCACTGCTCACTCTCTTTATCTAAAAATTATTTTTATTTATTTTCTATCACTAACCGTTTAGTTGTAGCACTTTCGAGAAAGTCATTTTACGAGTGAGGAAGTTGTAATTATGGAAGGGTAATTTTATAAGTTCATCAAGGAAGTTTTGTTTTTACCTTAATTGAACATTTCATCCATTTAGGGATAATTTGTTTAGGTTTGAAGCTAAATCCGTAAAAAAGCTTTGGTTTGGGGATTGTGTAATCAAGTCTCTATTTAAGTTTGAATGTTTGGTTTGCTCAAAAGCTTTCAAAGGTTTGAGATCAACCTGGTGGTAAAATCTCATATGTTCTTGGTTAGCCCGTGATAAAACCAAGTTTTGGTTAAAGCTCAGCTCGTGATAAAAGCTTTCTTCTGTTTAATATCATCTCGGTGGAAAACTTTCATAGGATTTTGATTAGCCCTTGATAAAAACTAAGTTTAAGTTTAAGATTAGCTTATGATTAAAGATTCGTTTGAAGCTTGAAGAATAACCATTCTATGTTCTAGTGGAAATGAGACTAACCGCTTCGATCCATCATTTAGAAAGATGACTCGCTGCTTAAGAACTAATCGTCTCAGGAGAAAGATGACTTCCAACGCACATTTAAGAGGGAGATTCTTTCTAAACACACCACCACTTTATAGTAGTAGTAGATTTGAAATCTGGAAATTTAGGTTTATACTTTTTATTCAAAGTATAAATCATTAATTATGAAAAACTATAATCACTGGTTTGTTCATAAGTTGTGCTTTTACCGCTTATTTTGTGGTTTTTATTTGTGTTTTCCATGATGGTTTCCTTGTTTTGTTTCCATATTATGCGTTTTTATGTGTTTTTCATTATTTTCAGGTAATAAGAATGCTTTGGACCAAACTGGTATAGAAAAGATCAAAAATCATGCGAAAAGGAAGTCTCTCCAAACTAATTTCCCGAGGCCAACATGACCCCCACCCCACCCGCCATGTTGGCCATAGAGCAGTCCCTATACAAGCTGTCAGAGAGCAACACGACCCCCCCCCCCCCCCCCCCACCCCCTCCCCCGTGTTGTCTGACACGACCTTGTTGCCAAACACGTCCCCCTGTAACACCCCGATTTTTCCATTTAATTATTTAATAAACTTTATTTGTGTATTAGAGTGATTTAGCATGGTTATATGAGGTATGTTTAGGAGAACAAGTTGGGAGCTAATGAGATAATTAAAAGAGATTATGTAGAGAACCTTTTATATATATATATATATATATATATATATATATATATATATATATATATATATATATATATATATATATATATATATATATATATATATATATATATATATATATATATATATATATATATATATATATATATATATATATATATATATATATATATATATATATATATATATATATATATATATATATATATATATATATATATATATATATATATATATGAAGGAAAATTGCGATCTAAACGCAGCGGAAAACAAAAATTTTCCTTTAGTGATCCTCACGAATGAGCATGGTCAGTGATAGAATCGTTACCTCTTTGTGGCGATTCAGATCTTTGATGCAGCGATCACAAGCGTTGATGAAGTGCAACGCCTCTACTCAGTCCACACGAACAGCTTCCGGTCACAGTGCTAGCTGCTTACGAACGGAATTATTTGAGTGAGAAAAGAGAATCAAAAACGAAATTGCATCAAGTGAAAGCTTCATCACAAGGGTTCCTTTTATAGACTCTCTTGTGGGCTGCGGGCTAAAACCCTAATTCACATGATCCATAATAATATTATATATTATTATAATAACTATTATTATAATAAATATATTTATTTTATTATTATTTTATAACCATTATAAAATAACAATAATTATTATTATATTATCCGAATTTCTATTTTTCACTTAAGTGCACCGTACCTTACGGTGTTCCTTTGATTTCTCTATCTCTCATCAAACTGTCCTTATGTGTGTGACCCTGTAGGATTTCGTAACGTTGGTAATTATATTAAATTATATATATTTAACATAATAAACAGTAAGCGGTATCTAGCAACACATCACTGCTACCCAAGTCACGAAAATGTCATGTGATCTGACAAAACCTTTTTCGTGATAATATATGTTTGTACAATTACCCTTTTGCCCCTATGTCTATATTGAACACAAGGCATACACTGTGTCATCCTTGTCCAGTTCAATATTGGGCCCTTAGACATTTCTCCTGTTATGCAGGATTGGCAAATTCCATCTAGGACACTCATGTCCCTCAGCATGCTTCGTGGAGTGCCCATCAACTGTCTTTATGATCATCCAGTTACGGATAATGTTTGATCAGCAATAAAGCACCCGACTCTACATCTAGGGTCCATAGTGGTTTCAGGTCGAAGGGTGGTAATACACCATTATCACCATGAGAATAACTTATGACACTTTGCATAACATACTATGTAGTATTCTCATAGCGGGTCAATCCGGTATAAATATTACTCCTAATATTTATACCTATGTCAAGACTTGATAACTCTTTATCCATGATCCATGAGATGTGATCATCAGTCTATCTTCATAATAGTCTCAATGCTTTTAATGTTATCCCACTTTGCAATAAAGCTTGACTACGGATATTTTAAGAATAATGTCTTTATGTTTAATGGGATCTCATGATTAAGTCACACTTAACATTTCATTAAACAGACTAACTATTCTAGGGACTTTATTATTCTGAAAGACAAACATAATAAAGAAATGCCTTTTATTATTAAACGAATAATCCGATACAAGTACCAAAAAGTATTGGCCTCTAGGGCTTACACCAACAATATATATATATATATATATATATATATATATATATATATATATATATATATATATATATATATATATATATATATATATATATATATATATATATATATATATATATATATATATATATATATATATATATTAAAAAATAGTTTTTAAATCTGTGAATCATGTGAGTTGAACCTAATGAGATGAACCTAACGAGTTGAACCGAACTGTTCGTGAACTTATAACTAGTCGAGTTTGAGCTTAAAAAAAAGTTCGTCACAAACTCGAACTCGAACAATTCTTAACGAGTCGAGCCGAGCTGAGGTGAGTTCGACTCGACTCGACTCATTTCCAGCCCTAGTTGGGCCATAGAAGCTTGGGCCCAATATCCACTCCTCGGAATTTTGTGAGGTAGCCCTACCCCATTTCATTTTTCCATTCACTCCTCACATAAACAATTGTCTCTCTCACTCTCACAAGCATCACACACACAACTCACTCCATAGAAACTTAGAGCATTTCAAAACTTCTTGCTAGCTTTTCAAAATCAATCCTCTCAGCATAACATGTTTGAATTCGTCATTTTTTCCTTTGTTCTTCTTAGCAACATGTGGTTAGGGTTTGTTTGTGAAACTGTGAAAATTTGCTTTTAGATTATATAAGACTCTATGCATGTTCTAATTTTGTGATTTATCTTACTGTGCACATGGGTTTCAATAATAAGTATAAAGTAGAAAGTGTTTAGGTTAGAGTCGAATTGGCATTGAATGAATTCTTACACAAACTTCAACTCTAACTTGAGCAATCGTGTGATATAGGGTTTAACTGAATTTTTGTTTTGTACAATAGTTTGAAATGGCAGCAAATTGAATTTTGGAAAAGTCTTTGTGATTTTGAACTTGTAGGCAGAACCTATAGAATGGGAATTTGCAGGGTTCACCATGACTTCGCAGCGAACCTGGGGCGAGTATTCGCCATGGTTTCGCCTAGCGAACTTGTGAGCAAACATGAAAGAATTTTTAAATTTTTTTGTGATGCTGGATTCTTGTTCTGATTCTTTTTGTTTTATTTCCTCACTCATATAAATTGTGTTTGGCTGGTTGGTTTTGTTTTGTGATTGTGCAGATGGCACCTCCAAAGACAAATCCGTTAAAGAAAATAATGGTCGGAAGTTCATCTCATCCAACCCCAATCCAGTTTAATGCTGATAGATTCAAAGGAGCAAAACAAGTTGCTCGTCATCTGACTCTAGAGAAGAGGAGCATCTTACATGAAAAGAGATTCAACCTTAATCCTTAAGGATCCTACCAAGCGGTAGCGGGAATCCTTCAAAGAAAAAAATGGGACAAGTTGATAACGCCTAGTGATAGTTATAACGTAGAGCTCGTAAGAGAGTTCTACACTAATGCACTTCCAAATGACGATGAGCCATTTAGTTGGACTACTATGGTTGGCGAAAGAGAGGTAAAATTTGACCGTGGCACCATTAACATTGTTTTAGGTAATCCTTTATCCTTGGGGAAGAATGACATAGATGCATATCATCACACATTGAGGCTTCATAGAGACACATATGCCATTTCTCATGATTTGTTGATTGAGGGAAAGTCAGTTGAGTTAAAGCCATCTGGGGTTCCTCGAAGGTATCATAGAGAGGACATACGTCCTTTGGCTCAACTTATACTTTTGTTGGTGTTGACTAATATTAAGCCAAAGTTACACACCTCTACTGTGCCAATACCTATTGCTCATCTTGTTTGCAGTATTTTTACTAATGTGCAGATTGATGTAGCTAGAATCATTGTAGATGAGATGCGTGCCGTTATGAAAAGAAGACTTGGTTCAGGGTCAAGGAAGAATTATCCCTTAGTATTTCCTTGTTTGATTATGGTATTATATGTGCATGCGAGGGTTGAAAGGAAATAGATTTTATTGGAAATTAAAAGAACCTCAAAGTGTTGGCGGGAACCGATTACAGCAGATTAATCCGAAGGAATTAGTTCTCCATAATTTATACAAAGCTCCAACAAATATTTTCGTGAATAGTGAATAGGATACTGTAAACGAGGTTTCCCCTCAAAATAAAACAATGGATTCAGTTCATAACCCAACTGGGTCAAAAACATAACACAGGCCCAAAATAAGATCAAAACTAAAACAGAATTTTAATGCTGTAACTTGAAACGAAATTCTGGAATTTTGAGCTTCGAATCTGACTTCGACTCCAACACGAAAGTCGTAGCTCTCTCTCTTAGCTTTCCGGCGATTTTTAGAACGCCTCAAACGGATTCCCGGAACTCCAGTTATGATCGTTTCTGTGCAAACTGCTAAAGCTGAAAAATAGTTGCGATAATTAAATTAAACCAAAAATAAAATAAAATAAGAAAACATAATAAAATATAATAATAAACAAAATAAAATAAAGAAATGCCTAAGTAAAAATATAGGAGAATGTGCATAAATATGCACTGATCACCAGCCCAAACATTTACACCCATGTCACCCTACGACCAGTCAGGCTATCGTCCTGACATTGTCTCATCCAGCCAACCATCCCAAAATAATTATGAAGGCATGGACAACCCTTTTGATTTGGATGACTTTACGGGGATGGAATCGACTTCATGGGCCGAAATGATGCAATTTCTTGAAGACGACACGGTCGACCCAACTCCACCACAAAGACGGCCAAGAAACGTACGTAATCGAGGATGCGGTACGGGCGGACATTTAAACCGACCAAGTCGTAGAAATTAGTGTACCAAATCACTCATATGTACCCATTTGTAATTAAAAAAAATTGTAATTATTTTTTAATATTAAATTTATTAAATACAATTTAATTTTTATTTATTATTTAAAACTTTTTATTTATAAAATTATTATTTATTAAATATTTTTTAATTATTGATTATTATTTATTAAATATTTTTTAACTTATTATATAATAAAAACTATTTTCAAAATTCGGATTTAAGGGAGGAGGCAAAGGGGATGACGCCCCCTTTATAAATTATAGGGTGCCTTCAACCTGGATGGCGCCCCCCTATAATTTATAAGGGAGGAGTCAAGGCCAATGGCGCCCCCTTGTTATTTTAAAAAAAAACGTGAAAGTTGGTTAGTTTGAGATATATGTTGAAATGTTGGGTAATTTGAGATATATGGTGTGAAAATATGGTTATTTGCGTGAAAAATTCTCTTGATTGATCATTCTCTTTTCGATAATATTAAAATACATTAGATAGAATTTATAATGAGATTTTATGGTTTTATTCTATTTTGTTTTAACTTTCGCCCATCCATCAAAATCTGATTTTAATTAGTGATTTGTGAATGTGATGCTTGACTAACTCTAGAGATATGTATTTTACACCTAATGAAACGCACAGGATTTTAAGGTTTCTTAAGGATTGTTGCTGGTGCTTCTTTTTGAGATTGTTTGTAAAATGTGAGTTAAAAGAGTACAAGATTTATGACTTATCATTTCAATTTATACATTTAGAATAACTACTAACTATAGTATTAAATTAAAGAAATGACAAAAACAACTAAGAACAATTTTTCAAGTAATTGATAAAGATAGATACTTTTAATGAGGTAAAGATAGATAGATTGATCGACAAGCCATGTTCTACCATTATTTTGTGTCATTGTGTTCTTCCAATCAATCATTAATATATAATAACATGGCTTTCGTCACTACTTACTTTTTATGTTTCTCTTCACTTCTTTCTCTTTCTTTTTTACAAAATGTCTTTCTAATGTGAAATGACTTTTTTTAATGAAAGTGGTAGGCAAATAAATAACTTCAACACTTCTCTAAAAAAAATATATTTCATCATTTAAATCAATTCTCGTTTAATATTTTTGCATAATAATATTGTTATATAAAATTTAAATTACTTTTGACCCTAGTAAAATAACGAATTTTTGAATTTAATCTCTATAATTTTTTTTGTCTAAATCTCTATATTTTATTTTTTACGTGCGTTTTAGTCATTAAAGATAAACTCTGTAGAAAAAATCGAAATAAAATTTTTAGAAAATCACAGAAGGTATACGTGCGTTTTAGTCATTAAACATAATGTCTGTAGAAAAAATCGAAAGAAAATTTGTAGAAAACTGCAGAAAATAAGATATATAGATTTAAATCTAAGAAAATAAATTACAAAAATCAAACTCAAAACTCGCTAACTTACATAGACTAACAACTGAAAAAATTATAATTATTGCTATTGAAAAATGAAGATGATCATCATTTTAAATAAAAATGAATGTTATTTTAAAACAATTTTTGTTTTCTAAAATTACAATCATTTTTAAAATAAAATAAAAAGTAATTTAACAAAAATTAAATTAATTATATATTCAATTAACTGAAATCCAAAAAACATATGATAGTTTCACATTATATGATAATTTCACATTAAATCAATGTAATGAGTAGTTGTGCAGAATCATCATATAGAAGTCAATTTTTCACCATTATAGGATGAATTTCAATAAATAAACTAGTTTAAAAAAAACATGTAACAATAATTGATCTTCCAAATTAAGATTACATTTCATATAGATGGTAACAATTACATTAATAGGCCACTCTCAATAAAGGCAAACAAAAGCCTAAAAGGAGTGAAGATAATAAATAATAGCACATGGAACCCATAACTCAAAAGGGTATCTCAAAGTACATCAACACATTTTTTAATAAACCTAAAAAGTGTTACCATCTAGTTAGCATATAATAATAAATTATAATATAATAAATAACCATTTAGAAAATTATTAAAAATATATAGATATAAAACTTTATATAGTTGATTGATTGATGAAGCTTTTACTTTAAGGGCATTTTGGTCCTCCTTGTTGGGTCTTCCAGTTGTTGTAGCAAGGGCACACTGCTTTATTACCATAATACCCTGGTGGTACACACAAGCATTTCTTGCAACACTTCTGACAGAAAAACATGCATGGCTTGTGGTATTGCGTCTGTCCACATCTCCTCGAACATTGTGATGGGCATTCTGGTCATTTCAGATTTAGAAAAATAAAATATTAAAATATTATTAAAAAAGTAATTATTTCATTCAACAGAAACGGTTTTGACTACGGTCAATGTAACTAACTGATTGAGAACAATATTTTTGTTAAAAAATATTTAAAAATTCAACACTCAAAATATATATTTTTTAATATTTTATATTGAGCTATACTAACTTACTATGTTAGCTAATGAGACATCCCTTAAAAAAATTATTTAATATATTTTATACTATTTTCATTTAGAATAGCTTAATGTAATAATATATTGTTTTTACTAAAAATATTTGTGTTAGATCTGTGTAATTCTAATCAACCAATAATATTATTTTCTAATAAAACTTATTATAAATTTTTTCTTTTTTAAAAAAAAGGAAAAACAAAAATTGCATAAATAACTTTACTTACGGTAGCTCTTAAGACTGCCAGGTCCATATTTGCTCTGAAAAAACAAAATTAAACAGAAAATTTCAACATCAATTCACACTTCAAAAAATAAAAGTTACAAAACCAAAATCTTGACCATTTTACCCCTACCCTAAAAAAAAATTACTTTACCTTGTTATCATAGAGATGTCCTCCTTGGTCATTACCAGCCATAACCTAAAAAACCAAACCAAACATTCAAAAGTAAGCACTACAAAAATTAGTGACAATGTTTGAAACATTTAGATCTTAATCATTAAAAGAACAACACTAACCAATGTTTGGAGCATGGAAATGGCAATGAGAGCTAAGATGAGAGAAGCAAAGAACTTGGCAATGGCCATTGTAGCACACCTCTAGATTTGGCAAAAATGTTTGAGGAGAAGAGGAAGATATTAATGGAGGAGATGGTGGGATTTGGTGGAAATGAATGTTGGGTATTTATAGAATAGAGAATGTGAATGGGGTTTGATGGAACATTTATTGGGTGCACCCATTTGTAAAGAGTTGTCGTTTTTTTAGACAACAATTTTCTGACACGTGTGTCGGTTTTAATCAAGCGGTTATGTGAGGCCATGAGATCTCATCGTAGGGTTTGTATTGTATGTGTTTAATTTCTTTTGATTAATGGTGTATCTATTGACGTATATGTATGATATGCAACTTGGAATATAACTACTCTACACTTTAAGTGCTACTAAAACCCACAAAACAATAGTGTACTCCCTTGTTTTAAATTGTGTTTTTTTTTTTTTATATAAAAATTGTTATGTTTAAATTTTAATTTAATTACGTTGATCTTCTATTTCACCCAATCAACTATACTAGTTAGGTGCAAAATGGATCTAGCCTATTGGAGATATTTGTTTTACAACCACTTTTTTTATATTTAAAGTTTTAAGCATGCATTGTCTAATATATTTATTTCATTCTTTTTTCTTTTTTTTTTACTAACAAAAATATATTAATATAAATTTTATAATTTTAAACTAAAAAATAAAGCGTTTGTAGATTTGTGCCCTTATTTTGTGGGACGAGTCAAAATTTTAAACTGACATATTTATAATATTTGTTTAGTTCCGTCATATATATTTTTTTAAATTTTAGAATTTAAATAGAATTAGCATATTTATTTGTCACCTCTAATATTTATCTTATTTTAAATTCAAACAATTTAAATTTTTCTTTTATTTTTGAATATTAAAAAACAATGTAATATTTTTTTAATTATATTTTTATTTATAAAGTTTTGTAAAAGGTTTATATAGGATCATTTATCATGTTTTACAAATGATATTTATGAATAGAAAAACAAATTCGATTTGGAGGACATGTCTAGTTTATCACATTTTATATAGTGTCGGCCAAAATTTATGTTTGTACCTTCTAATATATTTATTATTCTCCATTTTTACGAGCTTTTAATATATATATATATATATATATATATATATATATATATATATATATATATATATATATATATATATATATATATATATATATATATATATATATATATATATATATATATATATATATATATATATATATATATATATATATATATATATATATATATATATATATATATATATATATATATATATATATATATATATATATATATATATATATATATATATATATATATATATATATATATATTATGGTGTAAGACTTGTGGACTCATATTTTTTTGGAACGAATCAAAATTTTAGAAGTTTACTTCATCCTAATTTTTCATTAGATTTTTGCATAACAAAATTAAATAGAACAAGATGCCTATTTACCACCCTAATAAGGTCATATGAAAATACACAATTTAAATTTCAAATAAAAATGTAAGTGTTTAAAATTTCTATTTGACTTATAACACAAGTGTGATATCAAATCTAACACGCATTAAATTAATTTTTTTTAAATAAGAATTAGTTTAAATTATGTATAATTTTATCATTTCATTTATAAATTTTTATTTTATTTAAAAAAAATTAATTTCCTATTATTAATAAAATATATTTTTTTATTTTTCCAATAATAGTTTTATTATATTTTTAATTTGTGTCAAATTAATAAAATTACTTATAATTTATGAGAGAGGTAACATTTCCTCTATCTTAATTATTGTTATAGGAATGTAATTCACAATTTTAAAAATGTAAACATCAGAAAAATAATAAAGATTAGTTTGCGAAATTGAATGATAAATAGTTTTGTAAAGTTGAATTCCATAATCAACTTTTGTAGAAATGAATCCTCTATTAATATCTATTTAAAATTTACTAAAGTGCAAGATTTATGAAAACTATCTATCATACATTAATTCTTTATACTAACTTGGAATAGTCATCATCATATTATAACCATCTTCTTAACCAATCAACAACATCTTAATTTATTACCAATCAACAACATCATTATTATAACGCTATTATCCATCTCATGAATTAATTATCACCCAAGGAAGCATACTAATCTATCAACATCATATTAAACCTTTAATGTCAATTCTCAAATCAAAACATCTTTGACATGTTATTATAAATTTTTTTCCATAATGTCATCATTTTCAATAAATATATCATAATGTCATGTTTTTAAAAAAACTATATTATTTTGATACAAGGTTGTCGCCCTTTTAATGGGCGGAAAAGTTAAAATATTAAAGGTATTGCCTTTTTAATGGGCAATCGTGTATATAAATTTGGACATTGTCTCATTTTCAATGAGCGACAGAGTACATTTTATATATATATATATATATATATATATATATATATATATATATATATATATATATATATATATATATATATATATATATATATATATATATACATATATATATATATATATTTAAAGTGTGTTGCCTTTTCAATGAACAGCAATGTTTACATGTCCTTTTTTTGTTTGAAATTATGATAATATGGTATATATAGTTGAAATGTGTGGCAAAAGGGTATTTAATGTTTAATAATATGGCATTAAGGAAAAAATTCTATTTTTTACCTACCTCCTAAATCCTAAATTTTAAGATGTTTTAAATATTTTATATGAATTAAAAAATATAATTAATGTTATATATAAAAATGAAATTAGGTATGATTGTACAATATTGTCATTTATTTATTATAGATGAAAAATAAATTTTAAGAAATTGGAAGAAAAAATATTAATGAATGATAGAAAATATATTGAAAAAAATGTCTATTAATATTGTATTAGATTTGTAAAGTGATTTATAATTTAAGAATTTTTTTTAATAAAACCTTATAACTTGAGATAGAGGAGTAATTATAGAATAACTAACACATTTATTCATTTAACTTACTATTTTATCGATTCACTAAGATTTTTAATCAATTAATTATCGTAGATAACTTAATTCATGGATCATGATCATCCTTTAATTTTTGGATTCGCTAAGATTATTATTATAAGTCGTTTTTTACTTTTCATACCTATTAAGAAATGTAATAATTGTAGTATGGAAAAGAGAAATTGTGAATACTTTTATAAAATTATCCTTTATTAATGATATTGAAAAGATAAATTTGCATAATTGAAAGAAAAGAGAATAACAAATATTTAAGGATATAAAAGAAAAAAATGACATTAATGATTCACTATTATTATAAAGTGACTTATATTGTGGTACAATTTTTTTTCAAAACCACTTATAATAAAAAACGGAGGTAGTAATTACTATTTCTAATCTTTTATTGCTATGCCTAAGCGATTATCTAAACCATGTAATATATTATTTTACTAAATTGGTTGTTTTTAAATAAAATTTATTAATCAATTATCGTTTAACTTAATATTTTAACTCAATTCTGAACATTAATAAAGCGGTTATTCAATCTTCTTCATCGATTAATCTTTTAACTAAGCGATATATATATATATATATATATATATATATATATATATATATATATATATATATATATATATATATATTCTTTTAATTTAGTTCATTAAATATTTTGGGTTTGTAATACAAAACAATGGATAGCTTGAAGTGGATGATGAGAAACATATAATTAAAGTTTGGTGGCTGAAGTGGATGATGAGAAACATATAATTAAAGTTTGGTGGCTGAAGTGGAGGAGGGCTTTAGGAGTTTTTGTGACAGAAAGATATCACTCAAGCTGAAGGGAATATTTTATCAGAATGCGGTAAGACATGCTTTGTTGTTTGGGACAAAATATTTTATTGTTAAGAATCAACACGGGAACAAAACGTAGCGCAAATGAGGATGTTGTGCTGGATGTGTGATAAGACTAAACAAGATAAGATTAGAAATGTTTATAGTAGAGAAAGTGTTGGGGTAGCACTTATAGTAGAAAAGATAGTGGAAAATAGACTTAGATAGTTTGGACATATAGACAGATTACATATAAATTTCATGGTAAGGAGACTAAATCAGATGGATAAAAGTCAAATAACTAGGGGTAGATGAATACCTAAGAAACTATAAGAGAAGTTATTAAAAAAAAGACCCCAAGATTAACGATTTGGGTAGAAGCGTGCTTATGGGCAAAACATTATGGCTTCAGGTCGAAATGTCCCATATGTTGCCCAATGTCGCAAAAAGAAGTTACTAGAGAAGGAGGATGCAACCAATAGAGTTGTAGAGGATCTTTTAAAAGTCGGATTTATAATTAAGGTAAAGTATACTAACTAGTTATAAAATGTTGTTCTAGTAAAAATATCAAACAAAAAGTGAAACACGTGTGTCGATTATTCAAACCTGAATCTAATGTGTCTGAAATACGCCTATTTTATCCCTAACATAAGCTAGTGGATAGATCGTCAAGTTTTAAGCAACTATCATTCAAGGATATGCATACTGGGTACGTACAGGTTCTAATGGACCCCAAGGACAAATGTAAAAGAACATTTATGACAGACATGAGGAAATCTTTGTGTAAAGGCGGTGTCTTTTAGTCTAAAGAATGCGGAAGCAACATATCAAAGAATAATGAACATAGTTTTCAAAGGCCACATAGGTGACATGTTTGAGTTTTAAGTGGTGTCATGATGGTGAAGTATTGTGAGGAAATATATCACATGACTTACTAGTTAAAGGCTCTTTTAAGAAGACCAAGAAATTCAACATGTTTTTAAACCATAAGAAGTACATATTCATGGTGAAAAACGAGAAGCTCTTGAGATAGAGGTCAATCTAAACAAATGTGAGGTTGTGATCAACATGACATCCCTAAAGACCAAAAGAGATATTCAACGAATGAATGAGATGTTTATTTCACTATCTAGGTTTATTTTATAATCGACTCGTCATACCTCACCATTCTATGAATTGGTATGGAAAGAG